AGTTTTTTGGGTTCATTGAGAACATGGTTGTTGTTCAATAATAAAATTATTCCTCAAAAATACAACTTGCCTAATAATTCTGCACTCCCTGTAATTTCAGTTAATGACCGTGTACATGCTGGTGGATTAACCAGAAACATGAAACTGTAATTTTGATCATTACCAGTAATTTTATTACTTTTAATTTAGGGCAGCTTTGGAATAAAACTTGCCTTGGATCATGGTAAATAAATTTGTGAAGCACCTTATTTGTATATATGCACTGCACCTGTACAGTTTAACGGCTGCAGTTTGACAACCGAGTTTGCTAACGTTAGAAAGTAACTTAACACTCTGCCCTTTCATCTGAATACATTAACATCTGATTCTATTGCAAAAAATGACAGTGACCAAAAACATCTGTTGCAGCAACGAGTGGTTTGTCTTTTCCAAATGATCCATTTGTTTGTTTCAAATCAGTTAGTAACCTTGTCAAGCCTTGCTTGCTGCAAAAGTAAGCATTGCAGTACATTTACATGCTCTGATGATTTTGTTGGACAAAAAAGTTATTATCTATCAACAATAGATTAAAAAGAGTATCTAAAGTTCTTGTGGTTTGGAGGTGTAGTAAAAAATGTGTTGTACTTGAGGCATTGGCTCAACCCTGTGATTTACAGTGATTCACAATATTTCTCTGTACAGCATCTACTGCAGCCAGTGTTGATGTCCAGTTTTATTTCTGCCTCTGCAGCACCTCACTTCTAATTCTACCATTTTGCCCTTGTTGATAGTCTGACAAGCTGCACTCCTCATTCTTTAAAAGTCAAGCTGGTTCTTACAACGCCAGCTATACAAGACTGTGCACGTGCACACGTACAAAACAAAGCAGAGTCTCCAAGCAGTTAAATTTAAATCCCTCATTTTGATTCTGCGCTGCTCTTCTTCTGATCATCAATCAGAGAGTAACAGGCCTCCTTTTGGTGTCCTGAATATGAGCTACTCAGCAAATATGGGCTTGCCAACTTTATCCCCACTCAGACACACCAAGGAGCTGGTCTTGGCAGGAGTAGGAATTACTGTCATGGATAATGGGCTCACGGGACAAGAGGCTGCTTTTGGACTACTTTACGTAATTCATCTGAACGCCTGTAACTGGAGTTCATCATCATTCAGCTCGCACCTGCGCCTCTGTCCGGTCTCTTCAAAGAGTATTTGCATTTAAAAAACAATGATAAAGTCATCTAAAAGCACTCTGTGGTGCTCCCCCAGTTGGAACGCCACATGAACACAGCTGCAAAATACTGTTTTGAGCTAGACGTCATGCTGGGTGGAGGATTTGTAAATTAACTGGAAGTGTCAGTTTGATTCTGAGCCAGATGGATGCTTTAAACAGTAAAGAGCTTCCCATCAGACAATACCTACACTCTCACTGGCCAGAGCTGTGCAGGAGTGGGCAGGTGACTGATGTTGAACTGTAACCTCCCAACACATAAAAGAAAAGAGCTCCCAGTCATCATCATGTTGCACATAGTCTGACATTTACAAATCCTCCCGCCCCCACAAATAATTTTGAACTTTGCACTACGCATGCTGAATGAAGTACCCAGCATGCATCATTGTCAGGTCACTCAGGTGACTCCCCAGCTTTGTTTTGTCGTCACATCTAATAGTGTTTCTTGTTTTAGCCGTGGGTTTATTTTCAGACTTTAATCTCTGGCTGCTGCAAATGTTCCTGTACAGAAAGCTGCGCACAGCAGGTTGTGTCTCATGCCAAAGAGAGCAGCAGGCTGACACAGAGCGATGAAGATGCTGTTACACTGTTAGCCTGAAAAAAAGATTCTGATTAGACTCATTGACACGATTGATTCTGCAAAAGTATGTAAGTATCTGATATTGGAGAAAGTAATCTGTTTGGTTGAAACTGTAACAGACTGAAAGAATCTATTTAGTTTTAATGCATTTGTGAAATGCAGCATGTTAGCGACTCGGGTCCAGGACTTTTTAAAACAATAGGCAGGATCAAGAAAAATATCTGGTTCTTCTTCTTTGTACTGGTTTTTCTTCGGTCTGTGTTGTGATCTCCCTCATCTTACGCTGTGTGTTCTGCCTGCCTGCCTAAATTGATTTTGGATTTTCAGTTTTACTTTTGAGTTCACATTTTGCCTCAGAGTGTCTGCAACTTTGGGTCCTCCATACTGCTTGCCTGCACACAGCCACGTGACACTAAAAAGTGATAACTGCACCTGTTCCACTGCGTGTGTCATTAAACCAAATCTGTCTCCTCTCTATCATGAAGATAGAGACTAAGAAATTTCAGAATCACTCTTAAAAATGTCATATTTTATTATTCCTGTTCAGGAACCTATATATAACCAAAAACTGACTAATAATCCTGACTAATGATCAAGTTATATCCACTTAGAGGCCAAAACATTCTGGTGACCCCTCAACACTATTCTTAAAGAGTTTTGACCAGTACTCAAACAAGAAGTAATGGTAACCTCGTGTTTTGGAGGAAAATAAACGTAATTCTTCGTTGGAACAAATGTAAATGATTTTCATGTGCTTCCCTCTGTCAAGAAATAAAATACTGTGGTGTCCTAAAAATTGAATGTTTGATCATATGTAACATCTTTTCCTTGCTCAGTAATTTCTATCAAAATGATTTTCACTAGCAAAATGAATTCTGTTGCAAAGGATTATTGTGCCCTCCGCCATTGACTGAAGCCAGGTGCGGCTCGCATACCGCATGGCAAATCACTTTAGATGCTATCTGACTCACAGATCGCCCAACCACCCTGATGTAAGCTCCCACAATCCCCCATGTCCCAAATTCATTGTTACAGCTCTCTTCCTCAGCCTTCTCTAATCTCCCTTGCTTCTGTCTCTGCAGGCCTGCTGAGGACTCGAGAGGTCACGCTCTGAGCTCACAGCTCAAATATCACGTAGCAACAAAGTCTTAAGGCTTCTGTCTTCTCCTCTCTGTATGTAACCAATAAATCCTCACTTCATTCAGACGTCAGAGCCGGGCCTGTCTAACCTCTCAAGCGAACACGCTTCATCCCAAGTTAAGACAGATCGTTTGGGTTTGAAATAAATGTGAGATGTACAGCAAAGCCAACCAGTCAGAACATTTTGATTAACATGTGTTCATTTTCATTGCCAGATCGCATGGGGAAGTAATTATGTCCCATTCATGCCACATTAGATTCACTGAAAACAGTTTTAAATATATCATTGACTACACATTAACGGTGAACTCACATTAATGAGCCTTACTTGAAAAAGCTGAGCAATAACATCTGTGCTTCATCTGATAGAAATGCAGATTCAGCAACTGAGCCATTATAAGAAGTAAGAAGTGGCACATTTAAAGTTGTTAAATCTTCACTGAGATTTCTGTTGTTTCTTTATTGAGGTGAACACTTTATTAGAAGCCATCTATTCATTTATCAACAGTTAATTATGCTTCACTAAAGTTAATAAATCTATTAATACTTTCACTTTTAACTACTATTAGGATTCAACTGTAGGCAAGTTAACAGTTTGTTATACTTTTGCAGATACACTAAAACAAGCGCAATTTCTTATTGAGTTTAAGAAATCCATGTTATCAAACACTTATTCATGATTAACTATCCTTTTTTCATCTACTGGATCTGAAGCATAAACAAAACCCCATCAGGATTATTGAATGTATTATTATAAACAATGGCTAACTGTGCATTTTAAATATGCATGTTATCAAAGTTGATAAATTGTGAATCATACAAAAAGAGTATTTTATGTGAAGCACAAAAAAAGTAAGCTCTTTTTTTCTTTTTTCCTTTCTAGCATTAATAATAATAATATTGGATTGCATTTATATAGCGCTTTTCAAGGAACCCAAAGGGCTTTTTACAATGCCACTATTCATTCACTCTCACACACTGGTGGAGGCAAGCTACGGTTGTAGCCACAGCTGCCCTGGGGCAGACTGACAGAAGCGAGGCTGCCATATCGCGCCATCGGCCCCTCTGGCCAACACCAGTAGGCGGTAGGTGAAGCGTCTTGCCCAAGGACACAACAACCAGGACAACAGATAGAGCTGGGGATCGAACCGGCAACCTTCCAGTTACAAGATGTGACCTCTGACCTCCCAACCATGAACCGATGCACAGCTTTGGTGCATTAAATAAAAAATTTCAGTCAAGAATTTCAGTTTAATTACTTTCTTACCACATAACTTGTAACCACAGGCAATTGTGATACATTAATAAGAGAATGTAGCCTTTAAAATAATTATAATAAAGCTTTTAACACTGACAGTGACAGAATGATTATATATAATGTATGAAAGATTATTATTATTAAACTTACTTCGATATTTTCAGTAACATTATTGGCAGAGAGGAGACTCCCCACAAACAGCCCTGCAAAGTCTGTGTTCAGTACAAAGGACCAAAAAGAAAGGATGGCATGGCGCCAGTAGTTATGTTGAGCATTACTAAAGTACTAATTGAAAAAAAGGTGTCATCCTCTCATCACAATGAGCACGTTGAGTAACCTAAATTAAGCACACCACTCATGACCCACAAGTGCATGCTAATCTAGTTAGCATGCTTGTGGTGGATCCTGGTTATATATGAATGTGCAAATAAGATGAGGCTGGTGGTAGACTGAGGACGCTCAAAGAGCCGAGTACCACAACACACTCAGGCCCAATTCCAATATGGCCTATACGCCGCTTTACTCCCTGTGCAGGTACGCTTGCTGTTGTGGAGGGTCTCTTAAGCCCCTTTGATACTCAACAAAAAAAGGCCACCAGCACATGCTAACATCGCTAGGCTTTTTCCTCAGTGGGAAAGGGTACAGTCATTGTTCATTCCCAGGTTAAATGACTCAGTGACTTCACCAGTCACTGGCTCCAGTGCCAATTTGCAATGATGTAAGCATGAAAACAAAGTAGATATGGTCATTTTTATCATGTTTCCACTACAGTAAGTGGTAAGCTACAGTATATAAAATCAAAGTGAATGAAAGGAGTCAGTGGGCTTCTTTCAAAACTGATCTGTCCTGATCATGGTGTCAACAAATGTGTCAAAAGAATTTGGGTCGGCTCTTTGTTCAAATCTTTATTCATAATGCACTTTTCCACAAAGAGGGGTCAAACTGTTTTTTTAAGATTCATATAAAACATATCAGCACAATAAAAATCCATTTATCCATCCACCCCTGCTCCTCATCTGAGCCCAGGCTGTGAGGTATCAGTCCAACCGTTACTACGCCTCCTTCTCCCCAGCTTATCTGTGGGCATGCTCAAGGCAGCCAAGAGCCTCAATCTCTCCAAGGATGTCTGCTCTGAGGTGGACGTACCAGAAACACATTACCTCAGTAGCTTGCAGGACGCTTCCTTAATAAATGCCGAACCACCTCAGCTGGCTCTTTTCATTGGAGTAGCAGCGACTCTACACTCAGCTTTTCCCTGGCACACAATAAAACTGCTGAATTTTTTTTGTTGTATTTTTATGTGTTAAACCTGGAAGCTAACATTTCTTATCTATAGCAGTTAGTCTGTCCTTGAGAAAAGGAAGTCCAGAAATCTAGAGGGCTTTAAACAACTAATGTCTTTGTTTTGTTTTGTTTTCCCCTGATGCTGTCTTTCTGTCCTTAAAAAATGTCATTCATGACATTTTAAACATGTGACAACTTTCAGTAAGGGGAAATGAAGGCACCTGTGGGAGTATCTAACGCTGTCTGATGGGCAGTGATTTTACTGGCGGCAACTGCATCTCATTTGGGGATAAACCTGACAGTGTGTAGGAGGCTCACACACTCATTCCTACAGCCACTGGAGTGGAAAACAACACAACACAAAGATCTGTTTTTGGGCTTTTCCCTCCTTCCCTGTTATCCTCACCTGCATCTCACAGCTTGTTTCGTAGGTTTCTTTTTTTGGCATAAAATGAACGAGATGAGAAAAACAGAATTCAGTTCAGTGAATCAAAGAAGAACAACAACAAAATGAAAGACAACACATAATTGATGCTGTAGTACAAAAACCCCACCATCAGGCACTTTCTATGAAAGTTTTGAGTGTTTTTCTTTTTGATTAGTCAGTTCTCATTGCTGCTGTTTTTCTAACAGATAAACGTGAACTATCTCCACAAATATATTTTTACAGAAGTGCACGATTCTGTCTGAGAAATGCTTCTCCATTTTTGATATCTGTGTTTTTATATAATGTATAAGCTCATGGTGAGGATTTTGTTTCTGTACATGTATCTGACTAAAATAGGAAAATACCATTTAATATAAAAAAAACCCAGAATATTTGATAAAGTTTTGCATTTTGATGTGAAATATCTCATGTAATATGCTTCTGTAAGTAGCTCTTGGATGATGATGATGAACAGTTCCTAAATAACTTGCTTGTTCTTGGTGAAATAGTGTATTTATAAACAGTGAATTTGTCATTAATGAAGTATAAATGTGGTAACATTACTCACATCATCCTCTTCATGCATGTTGTCTTACTCCAAGCTGTATAGGCTCGAAAGCCTACTACCAATTAAGCATATTAGGTGATGTGCATCTCTGTAATGA